GAGCCCGATGCGGGGCTCGATCCCAGGACCCTGGGATCATGACCTGAGCCGAAGGCAGACGCTTAACGACTGAGCCACCCAGTCACCCCGATTACCTGACTTTTTGATTATAGCCATCATAGTGGGTGAGAGATTTTGATTTACATTTTCCTAATGATTACTGATGTCATTGAGTTTTACATATATTTTTTGGCCACTTGTAAATCTTTTTTGGAGAAATGTCTACTCAGATCTTTCGCCCATTTTTAATCAGATTATTTGCCTTTTAGTATTGACTTGATAGTATTCTTTATATATTCTAGATACAAATCCTGTATCAAATATATGATTTGCAAATATTTTCTCTCATTCTGTGGATTATCTTTTAACTTTACTGATAGTATTATTTGAAGCAGAAAAATTTTTGATTTTGATGAAGCCAAATTTATTTTTTTCTTTTTTTTGCTTGTGCTTTAGTGTCACAGCTAAGAATCAATTGACAAATTAGAGGTCAAGAAGATTTAACTCTATTTTTTTTCTAAGTGTTTTACAATTTTACCTGTTAAATTTAGGTCTCTGGTCCATTTTGAATAATCTTTAAAATTTTTATTTTCAGTAGGCTCCATACCCAATGTGGAGCTTGACCTCACAACCCTGAGGTCAAGAGTAGAGTGCTCTTCCGAGTGAGCCAGCCAGGTGCCCCTTTGAATTGATTTTTATATATGGTATCAGGTAGGCTCAAACTTCATTCTTTCATATGTGGCTATCCAGTTGTCCCAACATCATTTGTTGAAAAGACTGTTCTTTCTCCCTTAAATGGTCTTGGCACTCTTGTCAAAAATCAGTTGACCATAGACAGATGGGTTTACTTTCATTTATATATTTATTTTGTTCTTCTTTTATTAAATGTATTTCTTTTTTTAAGATTTTATTTATTTTTTTAAAGATTTATTTATTTATAATTGGGGGGCAGAGGGGCAGAGGGAGAGGGAGAGAGAGAATCCCAAGCAGATTCCCCTTTGAGTGTAGAGCCTGATGCAGGGCTTGATCCCACGAC